ACTCTTTTTGTCTTTGCAACAACAGGCTACATAAAATAATTTACCCTCAACAGATTTCAGTATGAAAATAGACAGAGTTAAAGAAAAATCAAATAAGTAGTTGTTAGTGCAATTTTTTTTATTTATTCAATTATAAAAATGATTAAGTTTTATATATCTATTGCAAAATTAGTGTTATTAAATCAAGTAAAGATTGTTAATTTACTAAAATTTAGCACAAAATGTTTTATCTTTATATGTAGAATAAAAAATTGAATCCACGTAGCTAACCCAACTACTAAAAAAATTAAAATCTTAAATAATTGAAACAAAAAATAATTTTAATGCTCAAATAATGAGCAAAACTATTTTAAAAATTGTAAACAAATCACAAAAATGTAATTTTTTTTTTTTTGCTAATATTTTTTTCATAATGAAATATTTCTTATTAGCGTAAATTATGACCTAAAATATACAAATAAGTAGTTTTTTAATTACATTTTTTCTGTTGCTGAGAGTCCGTGCCCATTTATTATTTTCTTAAGTTTATAAAATCCTAGTGCGCTTGCGTATAATAACTTTCCGCTTTTTTTTAATATCTTATAATTAAAATGATCCAAACAAATTTTTTCAATAAGCTTTGAAATATTCTTACCAAATTTCTATAGAAATTTGGTAAGAATATTTCAAAGAGGTTCTATAATTTTAACTTTTAACTAGGTACCTAATGTTTTATTTTAATCTTTATTTAGTTGTTACTATATCAGGTTTTTACAGAAATTAGAATGAAAAAAAAAAATAATCCAATATATAATAATTTTATATATTATTTTATATATATTTAAGTCTTTGTACAGGTAACAATACTCTTTACAGAATTATAGCATCTGTTTGCCTTGAATTTTTAATGCAATTATTAGTTTCAATTGATTCTAGCAATAATGGGATCAAATTATTTTGTTCCATGTTTAGAATAGTAGGATAAATCACAATGTTCTACAAACTTTGTTTGTGGAATTAATTAGTGGTTAGGTTGAGCTCAATTTTTTGCGTTTATAACATGCCATTAACAATATTTTATGTGTTAATGTCTTAAACTTATTAATGTTGATCCAGATGATTAAGTTCAGCATCAAATCCTCCACCAGAACTTCATCTTTTAGTAGATAGTGTAAATGTATAAGAAGATTTACTTTTAAAGGTTGGCAAAAGCTTGGACCTTTTGGTGCCAGAAATTCTATTTTAATGATTACATGGATTTCATAGATTTTACATTGAAATCAAGCTGTTCTTATTATTTAAAGATAGTTAAATTATAACCTGTGCATTTGTAGTGAGTTATTTAAAGATATTCCAGAGTCTGCTCCATCCCAAGATCATGCTCAATCTCAAGGTTTTGATTATAGTTAACTAAACCATGATCAGAATCTGGTTGGGATGAAGCCAACTTTAGAACCTCTTTAAATAATTTACAACAAATGCACAGATAATTATACAACTATCTTCAAATGATAAGAAAGCATTATTTAAAAGATTTATGGAAAAGTGTATCTTTTTTTTTTAGATGTGGTTGACAGGAAAATGATACCATGGTTTTTATCTTTTGAAGTTACCTTCAATTTTGAAAAACCATATGATAATGAACCATCTTAACCATTTGAATCAATCAATCTTGTAGAGTGGGTAAGTTTGCTGAACCGCAGGCAAGCCAATTCAGGTTAAACTTAAAAAGACATATGTACGTAAAAAAAAAACGATATTTCATGATAATGGTAAAAAATTGAACAAGCTTTAAATCATAAAGAATCATAAAATCAAATAGCCAATAATATATATAAATTTATGAAACATTCTGTATATTATGCATATGTAACATTAGCTATAAAATAGTATTTAAAAGTATATTTAATTAGATTTTCAAACACTCATACATCTAATTTAGATAATTAGTCAATTATTTCTCCTAATAATTTACCATATGATATGAAAAACACTCACAAAGCAAATTAACTTTTTAATTATCACTACGCATGTTGTTAAACATATAGAATGTTGTTAAACATATAGAATGTTGTTAAACATATAGAATGTTGTTAAACATATAGAATTGATTGGTGCCAGATCTGTATTATGAGAGTCATAGTAAAGAATCTGTGAATTGTAAAAAGACGAAAAAAATTAAAATGATAGAAAAAAAATATATATTTAGCGAAAAGACCCAGACCGTAGACTATTTTTTGTTTTTTTAATCTCCTGAAAATCACGATTGCTCCTTCACATTTGTATAAGAATTTAAATAAAAAAGTTGTTTTTCGACATTCTCCGATTAAAATTTTATACTTCTATATTTCCAGAAGCCAGTCAAGGTGCAAATCTTCAAGACTAGGATTGAGTTTAAACTGAACCAGAAATATTATTTAGTATATTACAAGAAGATGAAAAGTTTTAATTCCTTGATGGCAAAAGCAGAAGAACTAAAGCGTATTTTGCCATGCGCTAATCAAATTTGCTGTTTTTGTCATATCCAGAAACTTTTGCATACAATAAAAGAATGTTAAGTAAACTAAAATTGATTAAAGCTCATCTAAGATTAATAATTGCTGATGAGAGATTAAACTATTTAGTTCTATCGGGAGTTAAAAGAGATTGTTGACAAATTGGATAAAAATAAAATAGTTCATATAAAATTTTAGTTATAAAGTTTATTACATGAGTTTTAAGGCGTTATGCAAAAAAAAATTTGAGTTGACCCATTAGTAAGTCTCCACCTCCCCCCTCCCCCCACAAAACACCTTCACGATTAATTTTGCGGTTGACAATCTCCCACTCGTTCTTAAGAGGGTTGAGATCTGGAGATTAAGGTGGCCAATCCATCACCGATAGGTGCTTGTCTTGAAACCACTGCTTGACTACTTTTGCAGTGTGTTTTGGATCGTTGTCTTGCTGACAAACCCATTTTATTGGCATATTCCATTCCGCATGAGGTAACATAACATCTTTCAGAATATATCTATACATGAAACGGTCCATTATTTCATCGATTCGATGTATTGGACCTAGACCGTTAGCAGAAAAACACCCCCAGACCATTACATTGCCTCCGCCATGCTTCACGGTCTTATGGGCAATAACGTAAATCGAGGCGTTTTCCGGCCGGTCAACGTACATGGCAAATGCCATTGCTCCCAATGATGTTGAACTTCGATTTATCATGAACAGAACAGTTCGCCATTTCTGCACATTCCATTCAATATGAGATGTAGCAAACAGGAGTCTTTTCTTCTGGTTCTTTAGTGAAATCAGCGGTTTCTTTGCAGGGCGTCGAGAAAATAATCCGGCTTCAATAGCACGTCGTCTGATTGTTCAGTCCTATACAGGCAGCTCTAATTACTTCTGTATCTTGACTGATGATATCCAGGGATCCTTCTTGACGGATCTGACGATCATAGAGCGCGGTCTTCCACTTTTGTTATCTGCTGCCAACTTCCCCGTAGAACAATATTTGGAATACAATATAACAAGGTAAATGTAACCGTGTTACATTTACCTTGTGATGATACAATAATGCTCTGTGAAACACAACGTCTTGGTTCTATGTGGACTGTATTGATGTAATGAAACACTTGTTGTATTTCACTTCTTGTATTGATGTTCTTCGATAAAACAATTTAATAAAACTCACTGCGTTAAACTGTCTTGATAATACTGACTGATTGACTTCCATATACTGACATGACATGTCGGTATACATGTCTCTTGTATAGTAAAATGAACCTGTGTGAACCTGTTCTTGAAAATTCTAGATGCTTCTTTTTGATGCTTCTGAATGTTTCTGGATTCTTCTGGATGCTTCTGGATGCACCCAGATGCTTCTTCTATAAACTTATGGAAGCTTCTGCATGCTTCTGTAAACTTCTAGAAGCTTCTACGTGCTTCTGGAAACTTCTGGAAACTTCTGGTTAAATACTTCCCTTAATTATTAAAAAACTTCTGTGACGTTGACACGGACCAGACTTAAGAAAATGAAAAAAACCAAAAAAGTTGCACTTGTTTTGTCCGCTGCAAAATGGCACTTGTCAACAAAATTCTGCGTGTGTGTTGTCACCTGTCAGCTGATTACTCATGTCATGGCATGCTATGACTCCAGATTCCTAAACTGTTTGCCGTGGCAGTATAGTTTGTTTCGTTTTTAAGACATGTAAAATTAGGAACACTTTTTAGCATTGTTCGATGTTGGTTGCAAATGTTTTGTCCAGTACTGTATATATATATATATATATATATATATATATATATATATATATATATATATATATATATATATATATATATATATATATATATATATATATATATATATATATATATATATATATGATTCGGCACGGCCCTGATTAGTTAGATTAGAACTAGGATCTATTGTGAGTTAACGCACAATAGATCCTAGTTCTAATTTTCAAAAGATTTTAACTAAAACCAAGTTAACGCTGTTGACCGAAATTGATCTTAAAGACTCAAAAATGGTGTTCTTTAGGTTCACTTTAAAGTTAGTAAAAAAGTTTTGAAAGTTATATAAAAAAAAGTTTCTTTTAACATTATAAAAACCTGAAGCAAAAAAATTTAACATCTAAAACTCTTGTTTGAACTTAATACGCAAAAAAAAAATCCTGTAAATGATCCAAGTAAAAGTTCTTCTGATCTGATTCTGCTGATCCAAGTAAAAGTTCTTCAAATAATTCGAAAATTGCCTTAACTACACCAAGCTGTGCATATAAGAAAACGGTTAGCGATCTTTAGCATGCACCAAAAGGAGGTGCCATAGATTTTAAAATTTGCAGACTACGTAAAAATTTATTGATATCAACTATGACGCAAAGATTGTCTCAAAAGCATCCGAAAATTTTATTACCATGCTTTTGAAATAAAAAATTTCGAACGAAGTTTGCTCTTTGAATATTTACTTATATTTGGTTATTGATATTTATATTGTATTTATCAAAAAAATTTAAAAGTTGAATAAAATGAACGAAAATAATTTGGGAGATTGTAATGTTTGTGAGATTGTTTCTTCATTAGATTCCAAAGATTTTGTTGGTAAGATTTTATATTTAATGTAAATATATCTGAAAAAAAATATTAATAATATTAATTATTAATATTATTAATATTTTTTTTCAGATATATTTACATTAAATATAAAATCTTACCAACAAAATCTTTGGAATCTAATGAAGAAACAATCTCACAAACATTACAATCTCCCAAATTATTTTCGTTCATTTTATTCAACTTTTAAATTTTTTTGATAAATACAATATAAATATCAATAACCAAATATAAGTAAATATTCAAAGAGCAAACTTCGTTCGAAATTTTTTATTTCAAAAGCATGGTAATAAAATTTTCGGATGCTTTTGAGACAATCTTTGCGTCATAGTTGATATCAATAAATTTTTATTATTATATAACTATATTATTATATAACTATATTAATAATTAATATAGTAATATGATATCAACTGATGGCATTAATTTATTTATATTAGTAGTATAAATTAATTAATGTCATTAAGTGCATTTAAGCCTTAATTGCACTGAAACAAAGTTAAACTTAAAAAAAAAATTAGTTAAAATGTTATTAACTTTGTTTAATTAACATTGTTTAATGTTTTTTAAGTATCAAGAATTGATACTTTGTGATAGTATACCTAACGTATATCTTAAAAAATAAATATATTTCGTTTTTTGCTTTTATATTTAATTGATGCAGGCTTTTAGTTTAACTTAAACTTGAAACTTTGCTCTAAGGCACATTCTTTTTGCATTTAATTTATGACATAAACTAATACATTTTTGAATAAATATTTTACATATGGCAAATATTAGGTAGAAAAATGTATACTTGTGAAGTTAAATATTCGATAAAAGATACAAGTTTTATTTATTTTTTTTTTTAATTTTGAAATATAGTTATTATTCAAAATTTTTTATTTCATAATTTTCATTTATTTACTATGTGCAGAACCAGAATCAACAACAGTACCTTTTAATTTCGTTGAAGAAACTCACGAAGAACGATACATTTTTAATGCGTATAGAGATGTTTGTTTAAAACTAAAAGAACACCAAATATTGCACACAGTGCATTATGTTTCAGCATTCTCCAGAGGAATGGGAAAGGAATTACAAGGTTTGCAAATTTAAAAAATTTTTACAATCCAACAATGTATATAGAAGTATATGTTTATGCGTAAAATAAAAGATGTATGTATAAATGTAATTTGAATGTTAGTTATTTGCATTCCCATTTAAAATGCATTTATTTTATTTAAAATTATCTTTTTTTTAAAAATACAAATTTTTTAATTTTCAACCATTCATTATTTTTGTGTATATAAAATTACAATTTAAAATTAATCAAAGAAAATAATAAAAATTTTGACTGCCAAAAAAAACAATTGACCATCAATTCCATGTGTTAGCTGGTCAAATTGGCTGCTTGCCTTCAATTTTTTTTTTCTATGCTGCTGTTGCATGTTCTCCAGAAGTCACAAGAGCCTAATTTTTTAGATGAAATACAAAATTTCATGACCTGAGAATAGTGGGTTTATTAGAATAGTGGGTTTATGGACAAAACCTTTTTACAATAGTTTCTAGCAATAGTAAACGGAATGAACTTTTTACAATAGTTTCTAGCAATAGTAAAAATTATCAATATTGATCTTTTCTATTCCTTTTATATTTTATATTATACTTCTAGAGTCTATTTTATTAAGTTAAACAATTTTAATGTAAATATTTGTAATTTTAAAAATAAAGTATTTTTTGAAATATTTACTTATTTAAAAATAAATAAAATAAAATAATGCATTAATACCCTTCTATATCCTACAATCTTGGTTTATAAATAGATATTAAATTATATTTTTATTTTTTCATTTTCTGAAATAAGTTGTTTTAGATATAATGGCAATATTTATTTATTTGTTTTATAGAATTGACAAAAAAAAATCATAAAGTTTTTTTTGAAGATAAAGATTTCCCCTATTCTGGAGTTCCTTTTATTATATCTTCACCGTCTACTCTTGACTGTCAACAAGGGAAAGACCGAAATGTTAAAGTAAAGGCTGAGTACAGAGAGAAAAAAAATGATGAAGCGGTAAGTTACACAACAGCTTTAAAGTTCGTGCTAAAAAAAAATTATTAATTTTTTTATTATTGTTTTATTTATTTTTTTAATTGTTATCAATATCTTATCTTTAACATTTAATACATATCAATAAAACTGTTTTTTTCAATTATGAGATTTTTTAGTTTTTTCTTCTTATAAGTTTATTATTATTTATTTTAAGTTCTTTTAAATAATGTATCAATCTCATACTGAAATTAAAAATTATTTTTCATTATCTCTACCAAATTTTTTGTTGTTGAGGACAAACCCCTTTTGACATCTCCAACAAGTACAAAAATTATAATTTAAAATAAACGCATTATATGTAAATAAATGTTATATTTAATTTTTTTTTTTCTAGGTATGTATTTTTTATGATAAATTTAAACATTTGAAACTATTTTTAAAATAGTTTCAAATATTTAAATTTATCATAAAGTCTTTTAAAATTTTTTTATTGAAAGATAATTTTTTGCATGTTTAAATTATGAATAAGTTAAGTCTTCCTAGGATTTAATTGCCTTTTTTTTACAAAGTTTTAAAGTTTTTGTTTTTTTTTAAACTTGACTTTTAGTCAAAGAATGAAATGATTAAGTATTACAATTTTAAAAAGACAATGTTTGTTTCTTTAGACAATTTTTCTTTGCAACTTTTTGAAAAAAAATGTTTAAACAACTTAAAAGTATTATATTTTTTTCTTTTCAATAATTTAAATAAAATTTGTTTATTTATTAAACAATAAATAGGAGTAATATGTAAAAGTGTTTTGCGTAACATTAATAAAGCGTTTCAAAAGATAAGTTTTAAAGTAATTTCTTTTAAATGCAATTAAAAACGTAACAAAAAGTAATTTTAGCTTGAGTTTTATTTTAAAGCTTTTAATTTATTTTTAATTTACTTTACTTTTAATTTTTATAAATATAATAAAGTATTTATTTTATAGAATTTAAGTTCCTTTGGTCAAAATGTCTGATTACTTTATATATATATATATATATATATATATATATATATATATATATATATATATATATATATATATATATATATAGATATATATATATATATATATATATATATATATATATATATATATATATATATATATATATATATATATATATATATATATATATATATATATATATATATAGATATAGATATATATATATATATATATATATATATATATATATATATATATATATATATATATATATATATATATATATATATATATATATATATTCTAATATATAGGCAAGAGACCATTCTTGTAGAAAACATAAAAATATTGTGCAAGTTACAAAGAAATTCGATTGCCCTGCAAAGGTTCACATAAAAGAAATACTAGAATTTCCAGAGTTTAAGGTATAGTACTTTGTATTTTTTAACAAGCGAAGATGATAGAGTAACTTATGATTTATAATATGATAATATTTAATAAAATTCTTGATTAAAGTAACAAGTTTAGGTTACAAAAAGAGAGTTGACTCTCTTTTTGTAAATAGATTGGGCAATCTGCCTAAAGTAGTTTGGTATCTGTCCATGTAAATCTTATCAATATATATTATACTTTACTAGAACCCTTTTATAAAATGTCTTATCAACAATAAATTTATACTTTTTTTATAATAAATGTTTATTATCACCAAAAGCTATTCTAGACCGTTTTCAACAGCGTTGACCGTATTTGGGCACCGATTTAGGGGCTGCCTAAATGAAAAATCAAGGACCTCTTTCTTTTTTTTAATATTTTTTATGGCAAATATTGTTTTTTCCGATTAAATCAGGTTATACTAGGAAAAAAATATGGGGTACCACCACCCATATTTTTTTCCTAGTATAGCCTCTGATCACAACTTTGTATGTGTTATTAAACATGTATTTGTACATTTTCTTAAAGGTTTATAGAGATTCTGAATGGCTCAGGAAAGACACATCAAAAAAACTCCGTTTAGCTTTGACTGGAAACAAAAATATGATAGTGTCTAGAAAGTATGTCTTGATTATACCAGATATTACTGTGCACAGAAACCATTTAATTGGCAATGTAAGTTTTATTACGTATTTTTAACAATATCTTGTGTGTTTTACTTCTTTTTAACAATTAACTATACTTTTTAAAGGCAGCAGGTCTCATTCAACCTATTTCAGACAAACTTGTTATCAAAATTGGAGAACTAGTTAAAGTTGGAGTAAATAGTGTAACAGAGATGAGGCGGCATCTGGAGAACTTTGTTCACATAAATTTTAGTAATAGTAATAGTAATAGTAATACAAATTGCTGTAACGACGATTGTCGCGGAGTATAAAGTTTAAAATTTATACTTTAACAGCCGTTAACAAATGTTTATCTAGTCTAGCTTTAAAAGAATTTACTGTCATTGCAGAAACCACTTTTTCAGGTAAAGCATTCCAATGAGGTATCACTCTGTTCGTAAAAAAATTATGTCTCGGTGTTGTTTTTGCAAATTCTCTTTCAAATTTCATTGGATGACCTCGAAGTCTCTGGGAAGAAGCTTTATTAGGCTCTTTATACCATAATATCTTATCAATCCCAGTTGTTAATTTAAAGAAAGCAATGAGATCTCCTTTTATACGTCTTGTTTCCAGAGTTGTGAGGCCCAACTTTGTCAATCTTTCTGTATAACTTAGATGTTTTAGTTCAGGGGCTAGCTTTGTTGCTCGCCTTTAAATTTTTTCTAGGTCATTGATATTGTTTTTATTACTTGGACTCCACACTGGAGCTGCGAATTCCAAGTGTGGTCTAACCAACGATGTGTATAGTTGCCTTACCATTTCAGTGTTAAGATAAGTAAAGCTTTTTCTTATTAAACATAAGATTCTTTGTGCTTTACTTGTAGCTGCTTGAACCTGATGATTCCATTTCATATTGGATGAAACTATTACACCCAAGTCTAGTTCTTTTGTTGTTGTTTTTAGAACAAAACTTTGATTGTCGTGCTTTATAGTGTAGTTATAGTTAATATTTTTTCTTCCAATGTGTATAACACTGCATTTATTTATGTTAAAGTCCATTAACCATACATTTGACCATTCAGTTAACAAATCAATGTCATTTTGCATATTAGTTAGATCATTATGTTCTTTTATAACAGATATGATTTTAGTATCATCAGCGTATAATTTTGCGATTGAAGAGATACATTGGGGAAGATCATTGATATATAACAGAAAAAGAAGAGGACCTAATACAGAGCCCTGTGGTACACCACTATAAACCTCGCACCAATCTGATACAACTTCACCCATTACCACTCTTTGTTTTCTGTTTTTTAAAAAAGAATCAATCCAATTTAAAATATTGCCTTTAATTCCATAGTTAGAAATTTTATGTATAAGTCGATAGTGGGGCACCTTATCGAACGCCTTTGCAAAATCTAGGAACAATATATCAACTGGATAACCATTTTCAATTTCAGTTGTAATAATATCAAAAGTTTCTAATAGGTTTGTTAGGCACCCTTTATTTTGTATAAATCCATGTTGTTGAGACGTTAACAGATTGTTTTCTGTTATATAAATTATCAGTTTTTTTCTAATTATTTTCTCTATTATCTTACTTGGTATCGATGTTAAGGAGATAGGTCTGTAGTTGAGTGGATCTTTCTTGTCTCCTTTTTTAAAAAGTGGTGTAATGTTTGCAGATTTCCATAATTCTGGCAGCTCTCCTGAATGTATCGATTTCTTGAATATTAAAGACAAAGGTTTGGATAATCCTTCTACACAATGCTTTAGCACATAGGGACTGATGTTATCACAACCAAGTGACTTGTTTTCATTAAGTTCTAATAAATAATTAAATATAATTTCTTCTTTTAGTTCTTGGTCCCAGTCACATTCAAATAAATGACTAGTTTTATTGCTGAAATATGGTAAATCTTGATTTTTTTTGACAAATACTGATTGGAAACTACAATTTAGTAGATTAGCAATTACTTTTTTATCAGTTATTATTTTGTTGTCACTAGTTTTAAGTGCTAGCAATTTTGTATGTGTCTGGTTTTTTCTTTGTGCATATGCATAGAAGCGTTTTGGATTATGTTTTACATCTTTTGCTAAGTTTATTTCATAATCAAAAGTAGATTTTTTAATTTGTTTTTTAATTGTTTTGTTGATAAGTTTGTATTCATTATTTAAGTTTGTGTTCTTGAAGTTTGTAGCACGAACTCTGCACCATAAACTACGTTTTTTTCTAACTAGATTCTTGATTTTTTTATTAATGCATGGATTTTTGATAGAACTAGTGGGTTTGAAGTGGCGAGGAATATATTGTTTGCAAGCTTTTTCATAAATTTTTAAAAAGTATTCATAACATTGATTTGTATTCATTTTGTCAAAGATTTCAACCCAATTTACTTTATAAAACATGAGATTCATTTCTTTGTACTTTCCGTTTCGAAAATTAAATCTCTTATTGTTGAATTTTTTCTCATATGAATTGAGTATGTTAATTTCCCATTTTAATATGTAATGGCTTTTAGTAATTTGACCAAGTGGAGCATCATATTCAATGTTAATTATTAAATAGATTGTCGCATATTATTAAATCTAATATATTTGCTGGTTTATCAACAGCCATTTGAAAAGTTGGCTTGTTAACTACTTGATGTAAATAATTGTTTTGCAAGTTATTAATAAATGCTCTGCTTGTTTGCCAGTTTTGCTTTAGCTCGATAGTTCCGTCTTCATTCCAAATAATATTTGGGTAATTAAAATCACCAACAATTATTACATTTGAGTATTTTCCATTCATTACTTCATTTTTTGCAGTTTTTATTAATTCATTAATTGCATTATTTATTAGGTCAGTACTGTTTGGTGGTCTGTATATACATCCAACTAATATTTTTGTTTTATGAAGTACAATGCTACACCATATTTGTTCAACTTCTTTATATAAAGGTGAAACTGATACTTCATAAGCGATTATATCATATTTTGTAAAAATTGCAACACCTCCACCTTGTTTGTTTGTTCTATTATTGTAAAAGCAGTTGTAGTTGCTAATATTTATAATTAAGTCATTTTTGAACCATGTTTCAGAAATAAGTATGATATCTTGTGAGTCGATCATATATTTTTTGTTTCAAACTCTGTTATTTTATTTACTAAAGACGTAGAATTTGTATACCAAAACTTAAGATAGTTAGACTTTTTATTGAATGGAAAAATAATGTCAGATTTGTTTTTATTTACACTAGATAATGAATTAATTTTTAGTTTTTTCACTTTTCTTGACTTTGACAATTGACTCATTTTTGACAATATACCGAAAAGGCTGGTTATTATCAGCATTATTTAAACGATCTCTTTCTTTTAAAAGCAATTTTCTGCTTTCAGGTTGTGCAAATGTTAAATCCTGATTTATATATACTTTATTTTTATATTCGTCATTATATTTCAAATTGCTTGCTGACTTTAAAATGTCTGCAACTTTTTCTTTATTATTTAATTCTACTATTACAATACCAGGTTTGTCGGTTTTTGATTTTAGGCGGTGGTGTCGTTTAATAAATGATTCATCGACCTTCAGGTAATTAAAGATCTTTTTTATTTGCTCGTTTTCATGTTGTATATTTTCTTCAGTTGATTTATTTAATTCATCAAGACCGTGTAGAATCAAATTGTATTCTCTTCTAGATTTTTCTTTATTTTCAGCTGAAATCGCGGTTAGTATTCTTGTTTCTTCTGGTTCAAGAGATTTGTTATGAAACAAGCTACTAAAAAGTGGTTTGCTGTTTATTTGATTATTTTTGCTAATAATTTGAGCTTGATTATAAGGAAGCTTTTATAAAGTTTCGTCCCAAAGGTGAAAACAATTTAGAGGACAATAATCAAGACCTTCAAAAGTCCTTGTTGTTTATTTTTCAAGATAAATGCCAAAGAAGGTTACTCTTGCGTTATGGCAATGAGCTATCATTTCTTGATGCAACATACCGAACTACTCGATATGCACTTCCTCTCTTCTTCCTAGTTGTAAAAACTAATGTTGATTATCAAATAGTTGCCATTTTTTATGTGAAAATGAAACAACAGAAGCCATTAAAGAAGCACTAATATTTATTAAAAAATGGAATCCTTCATTCCAACCTAAATACTTTATGACAGACTATTCAAATGAAGAGATAAATTCACTTGAGTCAGTGTTTCCAGGTAAAAAAATTTGTTATAAAAGATATTTTTTTTAAGTAGAGATTCAATATTTATTTTATTTGGAAAGTCAACCATTTTGTTATAAAAAATTGTTCTTAGTTAAAGAAGTTATTAATAAAAAGTTTTTATTCCTACAAATAAACTTGCCTTTTAATTTATTATTTTGCTGTTTTGTTTATAAACCTTTGTAACTGAAATGTTCACCTTGTGATATTTGCACTACTATCATATCATTGATAATAAAATATCTGTATATAATAAAGGTATAAGAGCTTTAATAAAATTTGAAGTCAAGCAGAAAAAAAAATTTTATCTTTTTTTTTTTATTATTCTTAAAAAAAAGTCAGTTAGCTAAAATATATAGAAAACCGGTTATATACTAATTACTACATTTATAACAGAAACTGCTTTTTTGTTTTGTTTTATAAAGTTAAAAAACCAAAAAAGTAGTATAATGTGTTGACTAAAAAAAAATTATTCATTTTATCAAATTAATTACTTCTTATTGTTCATCAATAATGAATAAATACTTTCTTTAAACAAGTTTTTTATGGAGTATTGTCATATTTTTAATGTAGAATGTAGTGTATTTATTTGCGATTTTCATCATGAGCAAGCTTCGGAGCGTTGGCTATCGAAATCTAGTAATGGGTGTTTAATTGTCAAGGAAGATGTCAAGATTATGTTACGTCGAATAGCTCATTCAAAAACAATTGAGATTTGTAAAGAAGCTGAAAAAGCATTAAAAGATTCATCTGAGTATAATAATCATCCAAAACTAAAAGAGTATTTAAAAAATACTTGGTTGTGTATCAAAAAGGTTTGTGTTAATGTTTTTGAGAATATAAAATAGTTTAGTTTTCCTAAAACATGCAACTAACAATGCAGTCTTCTTTGTTTGACAAGTGCTTTTGGAGTTTTGCTCTTGCCAACATGTCTACCAATACTACGACTGGCATTTTTTTAAGCGCTCGCTAAAAAATTTCTAACGTGTTTTTAAATTGCAACAAATCTTTTTCTTAATCAAATCATAATTAAAGAGGTACAAAAAATAAATATTTCTTAAAATTGCGCATGTCAGGCAAATAGTTACTAAATACAAGTAAATTTCAAACGGACCATGTCGTAAATTCCAGTTGATTCATTTTTTATTTTATTTTTAAATTTCAAACTTGTTTTTAAATTGCAGCAAATCTTTTTCTTAATAAAATTCTAATTAAAGAGGTACCAAAAACAAATATTTCTTAAAATTGCACACGCCAGACAAATAATTACTAAATAAAAGTAAATTTCAATATGAGAAAATGTCGTGAATTCCAGCTGATTCATTTTTTATTTTATTTTTAATGACTTCATTTTCAATTTGAGTTTTTAAAGGAGGAACATGTAAGGTGGATGCATGTTATGTTACTATTACAACATATGTTTATCAAAATAAATTAAGTTTATGCTAAGGTGTTAAGCAATTTTAATAACATAAAAATTGTTAAGACTACAAAACATATAACTTTAATATTTATGTCATGACCTGTCAAAATTATTTTGCTATTATCCTAAACTTGGCTAATTTTAGAGATGGGTATCCGCATACAGACAAGATAGACTTTTGCTGAATGTGAATACCAACAATGGAATTGAGCGTCAAAACCAAAGTTTTAAATACAGTTTCTTAGAAAAAAGAAAAAATTCTTCCCTTACCGCTATGCTTAGCATATGCATTGAAGAATTCCTTCCACACAAGTATGACAGGTTAGTCAGTTATTGTCAACTCTATACTACTTGAAGTCTAATAGTCGGGTAATATACCAGTGCTATCTAGGTGATAATGAACGTTTACCAACTTGTTCTTGTCCATCATGGTTTAATTCTGCTTATCCATGCAAGCATTTTTTTGCTATATTCTTAAAAGAAAATCTATCTTGGTCTGCTTTTGGTATGGCTTATTGAAATTCTCCTTATTTTGTTTTAGATTTATTGTCAGAAGAAAGTAGTCTAACAAATACTGAATATTGTCCGGGTTCCGTTTATTTTGTTAATGATTCCACAAATGTCATCAATGAAAATGCAGCACCACAAACAATAGTTGATTCAGATCAAATTAGGCAAACATTACCAATTAATAATAATCAACCATTTAAAACTACTTACCACACTGCAGCAAAATGTAGAGAATTATTGAATGAAATTAGTCAGTTGTCATATTTATGTGACTCACAAAAAATAGATACTTTATTTGAAGAATTATTAAAAGTTAAAAAATGCTTGTCTGAAAGTCTTCCAACTGAAACAGGGGTTCTTCTTCGTCCAGTAGTTAAACCAGAAACTTGGAGCAAGTCTGAATCAAAGTTGCCAAAACTTATTAACACTTAGTTACACAAAAAAGAAAAACGATGAAACGAGTTGGTGCTAGATATGACTTATGTAAAGCAGCCAAAGAAATTTGTGTAAAAGTGGAAAAGTCAGAATCTTGTTATTCTGAGATTGTTACTGATTACTCAATTGAAGAAAATTGCAAAATCTTTACAGTTAGCCATGAGTCAATTAAAGAAACTACATCTATTGAAAACAACAAACACCTTCAAGCCACCATAAGCCAAGTTAATAACGATGTCCAACTTCAAACTAAGTTTCAATGTATTCAAAGTCTTAAATCGTCCTTGATTGGTGAAGCTGAACTATTTGAAATTGAAAAATGTCAAATGCTTAATGACAAAATTATTCATTTTAGCCAGCAAATGATGTCAATTCAGTTAGAAATTAACGTGGGTTTACAGGATCCCATTAAGGGTCAAATCAATGCTTTTAATACACATGATTCTACTCCTTTTGTTCAAGTTCTTCATGACGGGAATCTTCACTGGATTTGTGTGAGCACATACAATTGTAAGCCAGGTGAAATTTTTATGTTTGACAGCCTTTTCCATGGCTCTATATCTGTCGAGACGAAAAAGCAAATATGTTCTATTTTACATTGTAAGAAAAAGTGTATATTAGTTAAAGTATTACCTGTTCAACAACAAACTAATTTTTTGGATTGCGGATTGTATGCCATTGCCTGGGCTCGGCAAATCCTAGAAAATAAAAGTATACCATCAACTTCCATTATGTTTGAACAAGGGCAAATGAGAAATCATCTCCTAGGCTGTATAAAAAAGAACCAGTTAGATCTATTTCCAGTCACTGAAAATCCCTTACTGTTTAAAAAATGTTTAGCAAAGAACTTTCGCATCCCTCTACATTGCTCATGTCATATGTTTTGGACCAATGAAGATGAACAAATCTTTAATAGGTATATTATGGCATTAACATAACTCTAAAATTTGAAATTTAATTTTAATAAATCATAAGTTGTAAACATTATTTTAGATTTTAACATAATCATTATCTTTAGTATTAAGTGTATCTACAAAGATTTTTGCAGGCATTCTTTATTTTACATTAAAGCAATGACTTTAAATTGCATGTTTATTAATTTAAAGGTATCCTAAACTTCCAACACATCTTGTGTTGTAGATAATGTTAAAAAAAAAAGGTTTGAACCAAGTTTTTTTGATTAAAAATAAATAATGAATACATATCGCGAAATACTAATGTTATTGTTTTACCCGAAGCTCGTCTTCTCCATTTTATTCAATAAATCTGAGTCTTCAAATTATACGTTGCAATCTACAGACTTAGGCGATTCCTTTGAAGCGCATATAATTCATAAAAGTTTTAGTATTTGACGTCATGGTCGTCTTTTAACAAATAAAAAGTGTAAACACACAAAGCTGCGTTTTTCTACTTTAATTCAAAAAGTACAATGTAGTATTTTTTTATTATACAGCAAAACAAATTTATTTGTATTATTTTTCTAAACATCGCAAAAAAAAATTTGTATAATGTAAAAATAATAAATTATTTTTATTTTATAGGAGCAACTTATTTTTTACAGATATCTTAATAATTTTTAGATTTATGTATTTTACTTATATTTCTATTAATTTTAAATTAAAACAAATATTAAAGCTTTACTTACCAATCTTATGATTTTCATTTGAGTATTTTACAATTATATAGAACGTTTTACATACGGTCTCTCTTTTCTGTGCAAGAGAGCGAAGTATTATATATTGTGGTTCTTACTTATTTTTATTTAAACAATGGGAACTATTTTATAACTTCTCTGGTTATTTTTACGCTGACATTTTTTTGTTTTCCCGTCAAAAAAAAAAAAATTAACAATTTCATAAACTGACAGTATTAATTAGAGATTTTTTTTTTTTTTTTTTTTTTTTTTTTTTTTTTTTTTTTTTTTAACATCTTCACTTCCAACAAGGCTGCAAGCAACCACTATAAGAGTTGGAAGTTACTGGAAGAGAAAAGACTAAAACTGTAGAGCAAGATAACGATTGACTGATGACTTAAAAGATTGCAAATTATATGAATCAGGAAAGCAAGATGAAGGAAGCGAATTCCAAAGAACTGATGTTCGAGGAAAAAAACTAGAAGAATAAGAGTTTTTGAAGCACTTAGGAACAGTCACAGAAAAAGGATGAGACTTAATTGAATGGCGAGTAACACGAGAATGAATTTTAGTAGATGGCACAAGGGACGCTAGCTCTTTAGAGCAGTGCCCATTATAGTATTTGTAGAAAAGAGAAAGAGAAGCAACATTACGACGATGTGACAAAGGTTGGAGATTGGCTGCCAGAGATTGGAGATTGCCAGAGAAAGGTTGGAGATTGGCTGCCATATTTAATGAATTGTTAACTTTTTTTATTATAAAAATTTTTTGATTATGTTGATTTAATTTAAATTGCTAAATTTGCCTAATCGGATACGGATAAAAAGGAAATATCATTTTATTTTACATTTGATTTTTGATGAAACTTTTAAAATGTCAGCAACTTCATGTCGGCATTATAAATTTTGATTATAAGTTTACTGTTCAATATTTTATAACCATCAACTTAAAAACATGAAGTTATATTTTCGCCCATTTTATACCACTAATATTTAACAAAAATACGGACAAATTATTATTAAATAACGCAATAATTAACACATTAATTAATGGCAATAATTCAAGTTAGATGGTAATTTAAATTGTTAAAATGTCATAATGCGTGTTAAAAAACATTATATTTGGTATTTCCCTATTTGTGTTGTATTTGGCATTTGTCTCTTAACATGAACACAAATAACAAATACAAATTTTTAAGAAATTTTCTCTTCCAATTCTCATTTATTCAAAGAAAAGTTACTATTAAACTTTTATTTCTCTCATCTAAAATAAGAACGAGTGACGCAAAAAAAATATTAATATTCTATACAACTCTTATTCATTGGAAGTATAATTACGCGAAACTTTTATTTCTTTTTTGTTCTACTCTTTTATAAAAAGAGAGCGCAATGAAATAAAAACTTTTCTTTCTTAACATAAAATTATACTTAGAGATAAAATTAAATTAGAAATAAATCAACAATGAGCAAAGCAACTAACAGATTAATCTAGGACTATTTTGATATTAATGAAAATAATCAACATAAGTAACATTACCAACAACAATTATCAAATAAACAACACAATATCACATAATTTTAGGGGGATTTTACTTTTATTGCTCAGTCGTTCTAAATAATAAGTAAATTTAATTCAAGTTAATATTTCAATATTTGCAGTTGCAATGTAATAAAGAAATGATGTTTAATGTTGAACTTTTTTATTTAGTAATTTAATTTTTACCTACATTTGATATAAAAAACTTTAGAACCCCAGTCATTAAAATAATTTGTTTTAAATATATTTCGACGTGATTATTCAAACTAATTTTTTGTGTTTGACTTTCTGAACTTCATGCAAAACAAGTTGAAACGAAATATCGTCTAACCAAATAAAAATGCTGTTACTAATTTTATACGGGTAATTAATGTATACAAATTTTTCTCAGAGTCTTGATTGAGATAATAAATATTCATAATTTATAAACATTAAATATATGGCGCAATAACAATTTATAACAACGAACCAGCACAAAATATTTGAGGTTTTTAATATCTTTTTAAATGTTAAAAATAGAAAAAGAAAACTAAACAAATAATCAAAAAAATTTTGAATAAAAATATTTCATAATAATTAAAAGAATTTCATTTGTAAAGTCTGGCGTCAAATATTAAAACTTTTATGAATTAGGCGCGCTTCAAAGTAATTGCCGAAGTCTGTAGATTGCAACGTATGATTTGAAGACTCAGAGTTATTGAATAAAATGGAGAAGGCAAGCTTCAGCTAAAACAATAACATTAGTTTTTCTCGGTATGCATTCATTATTTATTTTTAAACAAAAAAACTTGGTTAAAACCTTTTTTTTTTTAAATTATCTTTAATATGAACCCAAGATGTGTTGGGAGTTTGGGATCCCTTTAAATATATTGAAATAATTAATATGTATAAATTTTTTAAGGCAAATGGCTCAATGTTTTAATTGCAAAAATTGGTTTCATCGTGAATGCGAAAGAATTCCTCAAAGTGCATTTGAAAAAAAAGATGAGCTTTGGAATTGTCATGATTGCTTCAAAGGATGTACAATGAAGTAATATTTTTAAAAATTTTTTACAAAAGCAAAAGCTTTTTGAATGCAGTACTTAAGTAATTTTTGGGAAAAGATGTCCCAAAAAAGACTGCTTTTAATCACTATATGTTCCTGGTTTTAAAGAAAATAAACGGCCGCAGAATTTAATGTTTTAAAATTGAACATTTTTTACTCCAGTTTAAAAAATTTTTTTAATAAGTCTTTCCTATAGCTTAAATATTGAGATTTTTTATAAAGTAGTACATCTCAGCATTTTTATAGTTTGTTGGCACTAAAGTCCAGAAATAGTGATAAATAACTTTTGAAAGCGTTTTTTTTTGTTACTTCCTTCTCCTGCTAGTCAAGCTATATCTAATATATAACTGGGTATATTTTATTTAATAATTGTTTTATTGCAAAAAAAAAAGTTATTATTAGGAAATATAACGAATAAATAAAAATAAAAAAGAAGAAAATATAAGAGTTAGATTTTGTAAAAGTTTGTTTTTCATGTTTCATAATTATGTAATACCAAAATCGTAATCATTAATTTAAAACTATCAAATAAGTTTCCAAGGGTAATTGGCTAAAATGCAGTATAATATAAGAAAGAGTCATAATTTTGTGGGTCATTACTTTATTGAAGATTTGCAATTAATAAGTTGTTAACATTAAACAATTTTTTATTTTGTTTATAGAAAGGAAACCAACAAAGCTTCATTCGAACCAGCTTAGCGCAAATGGTAAAAACATCCCTTCTAAAAACGGTTATTTTCATAGCCACATAGATTTTTAAAAACATTAAAGC